GATACCGACTCATTACATAAAGGGAAGATTTTATCGCTGGAAAAAATAGGCTCATGTACATGTATCACATTAAATAAGCGCTCAATTTTCTTTCTACTTTGCTCAATAGATAAGGCCTTTTACCTGCATAAGAGTAACAATAGTGTTCTTATATTCTATTCATAGCATTTAGAGTTCTGTATTTCTAAAATAATTTTCTCACCAAGCAGCATGAGTTTTCATCCAGAAGGAAAAAAAAAAAATCAGTGTAGCTGATATGGATACAAAACAGAGGAATAGAAAAGGAAATAGAATTACCCATACGCTTCTGGGAAATAAAAAGACTTCACAAGCTATAAAAAAAATCATTTTATTCACAGGGTACATTTCCAAATTTTCTCCAAGTAAGGGAGGTAGAGAAATTGAGACTTACTGAACCTTCTCACTACCAGCCATAATTACAATGAACACACCAAAGAAAAAGACATGTTTTTACAGCAAACTTCCTATGACATTGCATTTAGATTCCGTAGAAACCACTCAGCAGAACCAACCAAGATAGATACTGTTTTCTCAAGTCACACTATAAAAAGTACCAATTAAGGTTTTTTCTTACCTGCTACATTTTATATGAAACTTAAAAAAAAAAAAAAAGACGACGAAGAAATGAAGAGCATTGATCTTCCCCCACACTGCCTGCCTTATTAGGAAAAAGTAATTCCATATATACTTCAAAGGTGATTTCAATTTTATAGTCTAATCTAAAAAGTCTTCTCCAGAATTATTGCATCCATGGACTGGTAGTCAAACTACACCGTGTGAGAAAGAATATTTGAACTTTTCTATTTTTCTCTTACCTCCAGTCTGCAAATTTGCTGAAAAACAGCTTGCACACACGTGGAATGATACAGAAGGTGCAATCATCAACTTAACGAGACCAACGAGAAACTTTTCTTTTTTCAAAGTTTTTCAGACCAATTTTGCCGTGTGGTAACTAGGGTTCTAATAATGTTCCAGACTTTTAAAAAAATTAAACAAGCTTTTCAATGGAGCTGCTCTTTGTCCTCTCCCCTTCCCTCTAGTGTCTCTGACTCTGATGTACCCCTGTGACCATCAATCCCCACAAATTGTGGAATCCTGTATATTATGAGAGGGATGTCTATAGTAACTCATGGATAAGAAAGCACAAAAAATTGGTGCTTAAGAGTGAATGAGAAACAGAAACAAATTGTTTCCTTGCTTCCATGAATGCTACTGTTTGCTGGAGAAAAAAACATTTTTAATCTAATCATTTTTAGATTTCCTGTAGCTATCACCTAAGGAGCTCTCTATGAGAAGGTTCTACTACTTCAACAAAGGATATTTACATACCGTTATCAGACATCTCCAAGGCCTATATTCTATTGTGCATTTATATAAAATAGTTACATTCACTACACTTATAAGAGTTCTTGCTGATGGTAAAGATACAACTTGGAACAGACATGGCTATACCTCTAAAGTCACAGGGGCACAGGAAGGAAATACAGAAGGAAGTGAGAGCCAAGCCAGAAAAAGTTAAGGCACCCTCTGCCACCCCTACCTGGTCATTTTTCTCTTTTCAATGGGCATAAATAATGCAGGGTGTGTGTGTGTGTGTGTGTGTGTGTGTGTGTGTGTGTGTGTACACTAGAACAGAGGGGAGAAAACACATCTAAATCTTTCCAACTGTCACCTGGCATAGCGTACAGTGACCATGTTTCAAAGGGTCAAGTTCAAAGTGACACTTCCTACTATTGCTGCCTCATCATGACAGGAGATCTAAATAATAATCTTGTGTATGCGTCGAAGTGGAGATACAAAGGGGCCATGAAAATGGCAGTGTTTGCATATCCCAGCTCAGACACCAAGGAAAGCACGACTCAGAGGGGGGGCAGGAGGGCCAAGTAAGTAAATTGGTGCCGCTCTTCCATTTTCTTCCCTAAGTGTCTCACCATCTGGCTCTCACGTTACTTCCTCCAGTGTCTTTTCATCATGAGCCGTCACAACTGCATAATAGTATATTTCCTTTACAATGTTTTGAAAGGTTCTATTCTTGGGACTGCACTCAAGGACAATAGCCTCTGTGCTCTGTGCTTAGTGTCATACTAAGATCCCTCCCAGGGGTCCTTCACAATTAAAACCCTGATTTTATCTTTCTCTTTTTCATTTTGCTTAAATCCTTTCTTATTACCATTTTTCATTTTGCTTATGATGCAGAGAAAAACAGACATACCTGACTCCCAATTTTCTCTGCCCTGGATAAACTCATATCTCTTAGATGTTTTCAGTATCATGTGAAACATATGCTTTTAAAATGACAAATAACTGGGGAAAATCTAATTATATAGAAGCAGAAAGAGACATGATGAGTATATTTGAATATTATTCTATAAAACTCCCAGACAGCTTTGCATCATTGATTATATCCTACAGTTTTAACAGGAAAGCAAAATGAGAAAGGATTTTAGCACAATGCAGAGATCAGTAAGAACACAGAGGAGGTAGGCACATAAATGACCATGAACAAAATATAATTCCTCTCCCGTGCTTTAAAAAATTCATAGCTGTGGGCTTAGGTTATCGCACAAATGTTCACAGGTATTATATGTCAATTTATAAGTTATTTATTCCTTATTTCTTAGAGAAGAAATCAGAAATGTTGGCACCAGAAAGAAGAAAATCAGAGGGAGACAGAAACATGTAGTTTTTCCTTCTTGTGATGATGAGCAGAGGTTGTCTTACGTTTGAATGAGCTTTCCTTTCATGACTTGTTTCAATCTTTTGCCTCTAGGAGGTATGTAAAAAATGCAAGAGACACGCCTTGGCTGGGGTTAAAGCCAACAGTATCCATTTTCTTATGATAGGAAGAAAAAAGGCTACAGCCATTGTAGCTTCATGTAAGTCTCTTTCCACTTACAAGACAGGAATCTTACAGGGCTCAACCTAAATATTCTGCTCTCATATTTAGGAGTCATAAACAAACATTCTAGGCTTCTGGATTCTTTTGGATCAGTCTCCCCGGCTCTTAAAGAGACTATACAAGAACTGATGGAATACAGTCCACTCCAATGTGGGGATCAGGGTCGTCAACTCCACTGTGCAGTCCAAAATCTGCATATAACTGTTGACTCTCCCAAAACATAACTAGTTCATAACTACTCTGTCTACGATTGACTGGAAGCCTTATCAACAACATCAACAGGCGATTAACACATATTTTGTATGTTATTTGTATTATATACTGTGTTCTTACAATGAAGTAAGCTAGAGAAGAGAAAATGTCATTAAGAAAATCATAAGGAAAACACATTTACAGAACTGCACTATATTTATAAAAAAAAAAAATCTGTGTATAAGCAGACCCGTGTAGTTCTCATCTGTGTCCTTCAAGGGTCAACTATATTTGATATCTCCCTAGCTTCGAGAACTCAGAAAATTCATCTGAGTGGGAAAAAAAGGTCCATTTTTAATCATCACTGACAGGGCCATAATTAGGTCAGGGTGACCAGAATTCTGTCACAGGACACCCAAATTTAGAGAGCACAAATTTAAGGGGAAAAAAAAACTGTTTAAGGCAGTGTAAAATTTTAAGCTTCTCAGCAAATTTCCACACCAAGTCTCCAGTCACAAGGCTACTAGCTTGACTCCACAGACAGGCCAGCCTCCCTGGTAGAAGACAGAAATACATAGTGCTATAAAGCCAAGGTCAAGGGCAGAGACTTTTCTGACCCTTACGTACTCTGAGAGCTTGGGAGTAGGGTTTTCTCCTCCTTTCCACTTGCCTCATCTCTCCCTGGCACACAGACCCAAGTCACTGGTCATATTTAGTTGGTTACTACAGACTTTGCTAGAGGCTTGACCTAGGTTCCAGGTGCCTTGTAGTTGTTTACTCACTTCCTGATGTGTGCTCACTAAAAGTCATCATCTGAGAGTTGACCTCCATGCTGGGAAGATGAACAAATAAAAAGCATAGTATTGCTCTCAGTCCTTATGCCTCCACATATTTGTCCTCGGGTTCTCACTAAAGTCTTTACAGCTCTTGACCCCTGGAACTCTATAAAGGGAGCAGATATTATTACCTGGTTCTGGTGGGAACGTTTTTGTACAACACAATCAGAATTCCCTAAAGTTTTTGGTGGACTGTGACATTTTTTCCTCTTAGGTCCCTCCTAACAAGGATTTTTCAGTTAAAAATTTCACAAAGTCACTACTTTTAAACATAAAAATTAAAATTATAGATGGCTGATTTTTCAAAGAAATAGAAAGCTGTATATAATACATCATAAAAACTGTGATAGTTGCTGACCAGAGAAATGTTCCTGATATCTTTTTCTATTTGGGAATCATTGCTAACACTTCTGTAAAGCTTCTGTCTAATCTAAGAATATTTTTGTCAGATTCGGAATCCTGGGATTTCTTCCATTATTTTCCCTGTAGATTGTGAAGCTATGTTGCCCATTGCTTCAGGTACAAGTTACATATAACCTAAACGAAGTTTGTAGCCAAGAGAAGGACATGAGACATCACAAAGCCAAACAGGTATTGTCAGAATAGCTACCATTTGGGGTCATTTGCATCATTTTGGAATATTGTTAAAATAAAAGTGAACTATACAGAAACAAAATCCCATGGGCACTTGTTAACTTCATGTGTTGGTTGCAGCTGAGATGCACAGTGCTATATAAACTGCTGGTCAAATACTCTACTTAAAGCATATGTATCCATTGTCCTCTTCCATTTAAAAATCTTTCATATAAAAAATCACTTTTCTATCTTAGAGAATGACTTAATCCTTCACCTATCTTAATTTTACTCTAGTGTAATTAAAATTAAACAAAGGTCACCCTTATTCATGATCCTTAGCATCAGTGCAATTCTCAAACTGGGGCTGATGGAGCCAATAAAAGGTAAAAATCGTATCAGGTACCCACGTTTATCGTATAAACCCAGGTACCCACGGTTTATTGTATAAATCTATCCCTTTTTTCCTCCCATGGAGCAAGCTAATTTTTTGTCAATAAAAAGCAATTTAAAAATGAGACCGATGTTAGAGGGTGATGCCCTCTCTTGGCAGATGCATTGAAAGCAGTGAAATATTTTCTTACTGAGTGTATCTACCATAACCTGAATATCTTCTGAGCTAATCTTAAGGGTCAGTAGTATTAAAATGTAATTGACCAAATTTGGCAAAGTATGAGGCCCAATTCCAGATCAACAGAATAAAATAATAGGCGCTTAGAATTCAACTTCTTAGTAGTAAGACGTCTACTCTGCAAGATAATTCTGGAGAGATCCTCCCTTAGGAACACACATATTTCAATAAGGATAGATATGCATAACTTTATGCTACAACACACATGTGTACACACACATACAAGGACAGTCACACTCCTAGTTTAGATACATCTGTCTAACCATAAAAAAGGGAATACGTATGGCATTATCTATGAGTCAATATAAAATAATGCCAACTGCAATCTACTCTAAGAAGCCATTCTCATTCAATTGTAGTCGTATTTCAGATGATGTGAGCATGTATAGCTATTCTTTTTTTTTTTTTAAAGATTTTATTTATTTATTTGAGAGAGAGAATGAGATAGAGAGAGCATGAGAGGGAGGAGGGTCAGAGGGAGAAGCAGACCCCCCGCTGAGCAGGGAGCCTGATGCGGGACTCGATCCCGGGACTCCAGGATCATGACCTGAGCCGAAGGCAGTCGCTTAACCAACTGAGCCACCCAGGCGCCCATGTATAGCTATTCTTAAGTGAAGACAGTTTGGAGCAATCAAAGCACTCTTTTGGTCTTATCCAGGGTTTCTCAACCTTGACACTATTGATAGTTTAGACTGGGTAATTCTTCGCTGTGGGGGGCTGACCTCTCCACTGTACGATGTTTGGCAGGATCCCTGGCCTCTGTCCACTAGATGACAGTAGCACCCTCCAAATCACGACAATCAAAAGTGTCTCTACACACTGCCAAATGTCACCAGACAAGGGAGGGGACTCACCCCAATTGAGAAGTACTGGTCTAATTAAACATTATCATCTTGGGCCATTTCTGTTCTGCCTTTCAGAAGCCACAAGTTTATAGTCTAAAAATTGCACAGTTTATTGTATAAATCTATCCCAGAAATCATAACAAGATGTTAAATTTCCAAATAGCAGCTTCAGTGGAAATGTGAGGCACAGGCTTTAATGGGGCTCTTTAGTTACATTTTAACAACTTTATCAGTAAAAGTACTAATTTGTGTGACACATGTTTTTCATGAGCCCTTTTACATCTTTGATGAAGTGTATAAGTAAAAATGTATTCCTTTTTAAGGTAATTATTAAATAATAACAATGGCTCTAAAAAGGAAATACGTTTAGGGTTTCACATCTAGTGCGTATTTAACACAGCTCACTCATAGTACATTCTCATTATATTTTTGCTGCCATATAGGATCAAAATAACAAATCAGTTCTGTACAGAATCCGTACTCTCAAATTCTTAGCTTTCCAAGCATCAGTTTAATCTGTGTTATGTCAACCAGTCATTTTTTAACTGCTGATTTCTATAATAACCTCAAAATTTAATCTTACTTAGAAATTGCCTATTCTGGTGGTGATACAGAATTTTTCCAAGGGCTTTGTTGTCTCAATGTCTTTTAAATGAACCCACCAAAAACTGCCAACTGTTTTAATTTATATGGTAGACTAAGTTTCTACCATTAAAAATGAAGCAGAACTTTTTGACATAATTTACCTACATTTTGGTAACATTTAAAAGAATAAAAATAGTGATTTCTAGTGTCTCCTTTTAGATTAAGGCATTCCAAAGCACAAAGACAGTGAGAGGTTTCCTTTACTTTCCTTGCACATGTAAACACATTTAACTGCTTATAATCTGTCAGTAGAGTTTGTTCGCAGTTTGTCAAAGCTTATGTAAAAAGCTTTCTAAGTAGCCTTACTTGCTACTACCAAGGGAATCAACATCTATGAATTCACATCCCTTTACTTGTATGAACCATGCGTGTGTGACCATGCTCAACACAGGGTTCATTCATGAGATATTAGGCAGAGTCAGAATGAGTCAAACAATTCTCATTTTGGGTAAGCATTTGGGGGTCGTGCTGGTGTGAGCATTACGAGCAGCAACCAATAAGCTGGCTTGTCTTAAATCAAGGTGTAGTGGGTAGTGGGTAGTTCACTCACCCGTAGCTCTTCAACAATGGTTACAGATTTTTGCCATACTCAGTCATGTGGGTTCTGCCTTCGGAGTTGCATGGGAATGAGCTTTGTTTAACTGTGTGTATGTGTGAGTGTGTGTGTGTACATGAGTCTGTGTTTTATTAGTGTGCATGTATCTTGGAGTGAATATACCATGGTAGATAGAAAAGGGATGTGCCTTCTAGTCTGTTTCCAGACTAAAACATCATTGTGCTTTATCTCTGAGCACTAAATTATGAAGACAGTTATGCCAATTTGCAAATAAATAATGCACTCACATTTGCAGTCTTTTTGCACTAAAATAACATAATACAAACAGGCTTAAATAATGCAGATCTAAAATTGAGTTTATGCCCTCAATTCTGAGAAAGAGGGAACGTGGCTCATGTTATCCAGACTATGAATCAACACAGTCTAAATTCAACAATGCTTCACATCATCTAAGTAGACCTGATAAAAGGGGAGGAAGCGATTCTTAACATTTTTTAAATGGAAGGAGACTAGAGTTAACAAAGACTTGGTTCAACAAACCACAATAATTAGCTGTAGTGTTTTGTATCTTTATTACTCAGTAAGGGATTCTTTTTTTTTTTTTTTTAGCTACCTCATCACCCACTCACTGCCCCTAAATAGGGCAAAAATAAATAATCATTTTTTAAAAACCTATGGTTCTAAGATATAAGATAGGTTTTTTTTCCTAAAGCCATATTGTGTTGGTAATCAGTAACACTTTGCGCTGGCATTTCCTTTATTCTACCTTGATTAATTCTTCACCTTCAACAACCAGAGTTCTATCTTGTTTGTGAACTGCATCTTCTAGATTTGAACCACCTGAATGTGCTTTACCAACATCATCTCATCAGCATGTTACTGGTTGCAAATCCACAATGTGCTACAAAATATTTCAGAGGATGTTTCATTTCTTATTTGTCCTCCAAGCTAACATCCAAAGTAGAGTTTCTCTTGGGCTTTTATAGTTGTTTTTGTTTTGTTTTGTTTTTCCAAGTGGCCCATGTGAATCCATGAAATGATTTGACCATTTCCTTTTGGAGTCATGTAGAAAACCTAACAAAAATACCCTGTCTTGGTTCTTTCTTTTTCCATGGTCCCTAGGAAGTGGGCTGGAGTGAAGTGTCTTCACATGGGTCTAGCTGCATTCTCAGTGCACCGATTTTATGAAGATACCAGAGCTGGAGAAATTCCTCTGGCATGGCATGGAAGCCAGAGAAGGGCAAGACGTTATCATAGTAGTGGTGGCTGATGGGCTGCTCATGCATATTCACAGAGAAGGGCCAGAAACCATAGATAGCTACCTCTTCACAGAGACCCAGAGCCGCACTCACCAGAAAGAGTCCTGTGGACAGGCGCTTGGCATGGATTCCCCTACTTTTCCAGAACTTTCCAATGCTACGCAGAAAGTTGGGGTTGGCAAAGAGCACTGTCTGATTGGCACCAACATCTGACAGTGTGTAATAAACCCGGAGAGATGGCTCTGTTCCCGTCTTCATAGAAAAGGCAGGCATGTAGATGTAACTGTGGTTATAGATCTTCATGTTGTCCACAAATGTCTTTCTGGACCACAGCAGATTCTGAAACCTATTATAGAGAAGAAGAGGCTCAGTTAAACCCTGAGAAAAGGAACTCATCAAACCCCACTCTATTGTTTGTCTGATGGCCCTGCTAGTTCACATTTATCTCGGGGGTGGGGGGTGGGTGGGGAGAACATGAAAACCGCTTCACTTATATTTAAAATCTTCCTTGAACTTACCAATTATTTCTCATCAAGTAGCCTGGCTTTCCCCAACCCCAACAATCTTAAATTCAGCTTAAGATTCCTTAATGGAATTCCCTTTGAACTAAAATGCACTGTACATTTTGTTCTCCCAGAATTATTTGCCTGGAATGTAAAAATCTCATGAATTCACAAAGGTTCTTGGTTGTTGGATAGGATTCTTAAAAAATATTTTTTAATTTATTCATCTGAGACAGAGAGCTAGCGAGTGAGAGCATGAGCAGGGGGGAGCGGCAGAGTGAGAGGGAGAAGCAGGCTCTCCGCTGAGCAGGGAGCCTGATGCGGGACTCAATCCCAGGACCCTGGGATCATGACCTGAGCTGAAGGCAGATGCTTAACCCACTGAGCCACCCAGGCATCCCACTGAATAGGATTTTGATAAAAACTACTTCTGCAGTCTGATATAAGCACAGGACTGGTTTCTTCATCTGCAAATCAAAGGAACCACCTGGAAGATACTTCTTCCCGTTCAAATTCTATGATCCTAGAAGTATTCCGATTAACTGATACTATATTATAACTATAATATTACATGGAAAAAGGAGCACTTGTTACTATTATAAAATGATGCTGACAGAGTTGCCCGTATTGCTTGCTCCAAAGAACTCTACTTTCCTCTGTTCTTTCCATTTGGATTCCATAAAAAGAGGATCTCCGGTTCAAGTGTATTCAACTAAAATTGATGATGTACATCCTATGTGTCAGGCACTGGGGAATTAAAAATTTAATGACCCAATTTCTGTTCTTAAGAAATTCAGGTCCAACTGTGGAAACAAAAATATAAATGAGTACAACATAATGTTCTAAATGCAACAGTTGGTATCTGTATAAAGTACTGTGGGATACAGATGAAAAAATAATCCTGCCTTAGAGGAGTGGAGTCTGAGAAAGCTTCAGAGAGGGGATGGCATTTAAATACAGCTCCTGTGGGGCAACAACAGGAAGTACAGCAACAAAATAAGAAACACTTTGGTCACAGGTTGGGGTGCACAGTGTCCTGAAACAATCATGAAGAAGAGCCTGTTTCCCTGGGCCACGGGAGGCAGTGGCTGAAGATAAGACATGTTGCAAAAGACCTCGAGTGTCTCTAATTTGTTCGTGGACTTCAGCCTGTGGTGATGGGGAAACTCCACAGCCGCCGTGCGTACTCACAGCACTTAATATTTACCTTACAGATATTTCCTCATTTGCTTAGTGGTCAGTCTGTGTCAAAAAAGGTCACTGGCGATCTGGGGAAGGAAGAGGCTGGTAGCCTGGAGACCAGTGAGGAGGCTGCTACAGATCAAGTATAAAAAGAGAAAAAAGACAATGAACTACACTCGGCTCTTTCAACTTTTGTTCTCTTTCACACAGGGCCGTCACCGGTGTCAGGTTATGTGCAGGTGGAGCAGAGGCCCGTAAGAATGCAATGGAGCCACAACTCACAGAGGAAAGTCTGGCCTGACACGTTGGCAGCGTTCATCATAAATATGTGAAACCAAAACTCTGAATGAACAAATCCACAGGGTTTTGTGTAGCAAGCAGTGTGATTAACTCTGCCTGCCAAGAAAGGTGTGTTCCTTGAGCCCCAAAGAAGGAAAATTGCTCCAGGTTTCCTCATGTCCTTGACTCAGCAGCCTGCTTTAGCAATTTTCTTTGGGCTGCAACAAATAAAGATAGTGGTAACAGGGTTTGTAAGTGGAATCACTTTATCCTAGAAGAAGCCATGGAAGCACATTTACCCATATTCCGGGGCTGGACCAGCCTCGCCAACACAAACTCCTACCTCTCAACTCCACTAGCCCATGCTTAATAATTCTATTCTCCCTGTTGCTCACCCATATCTTCTGCTGTCTTCCTAAAACATGAATGCTTTCCCAGTCATGTAAACACACCCTGCAGGTAACCTCCTACTTCTTTTGAACCATGGTTCTCAAACTCTAGTTAGAATATCCTGATATTACAGCTTCCTGGGTTCCAATGAGTAATCCAGCTGACTTTGTATCCAGCACTCCCTGGTGATTCTCGTGCAGGGGTCCTTTGACAGACTTATTTAGAAGATCAAAGCCATCCATGTAAGCTGTCTAGCTCTCTGACATCTATCCCTCAACATCTCTTTCTTTACATCTTCTAATTTTATCCTTGTTGCAATTCTAACACGAAGAAGTGCTCCCTCTTCCCCTGTGTCTTCGAACAAACCATTTCATATTTTCTAAAAAATTCATGTTCTAAAGTGGATCTCACTTCTTTAAAACATTTAACCTCAGGGTGCCTGGGTGGCTCAGTGATCCCAGGGTCCTGGGATCAAGGCCCGCACTGGGCTCCCTGCTCAGTGGGGAGTCTGCTTCTCCTTCTCCCTCTGCCGCTCCCCTACTCTTGCTTGTGTTCTCTCTCTCTCTCTCTCTCACAAAAATAAATAAATCTTTCTAAAAACACAAACATTTAACCTCTCCCTCTCTACTGAATTATTCCTTTTTGTCTTCTAAGCACAGTTAGAACTTAGTATGAGGCAATTCTTCATATGCTCATACTGTTCCCCGAGCTACATTCTAGTTTTTTCATTTCACTATCAACATTCTAGAGCAATTAGTCTACTTCTATCTGTTCCCTTTCTTGCTTCCATTTCCTCCTTATTGCTGTGCAGAATGGTTCCTATTCCACAGCACTCTGCTGGTTAACGGAACTTATCCTTATTTTTGTAGTGGACTACATACTAATGAGAATTACAGACAGCTCCAATAAAATCAGGGAAATTGATTTTATGTTCCCTGTCTTAAAGCTGACTGATTATTCTTGAAGAGGGCAGTCTTTCTTCCTTGAGTTTTAACTTTGAAAAGGAACACACATCTTGGATTTACTATAGCCTTAATTTTTTGATACTGTTAAAGAACCAGCCTATATATAAAATTTTATTATTTTTACCTACCCCATTTTTCAACAAATAACATTATTTAAGAACTCAAATCAATTCAATGCTTATTTATGGCACACCTAATATATTTACTGTTACTCTGATCAAGAGCTTAATAGGGGTGGTTTGAATTTTACTAAATTATTACAAAATTCAACTAGAATTGTAAAAGAGTAGTGCTCCAGCTTACCTCTCCAGCCTCATTCTCAGATACTCTCTGTATCTTCACCCAATACTCCAGCCATCCCTGTATGTGCATCTGTCCTCATCTTTTGGCATTGATAGTTTCCTTTTGGCTTATCCATTCATTGCCCTGGTGAAGTTCTGCCTAAACATCAAGACTCAAGCTTCTCCTTCTAAAGCTTATTCCTTCCTTTCAACTTAAGCTTTCAAAGGAGTCTTCTTGGAATTTCTCAGGATGAACTAACTCAACCCTCCAAGACTGTGTACTCCTTGAAGACAAGGGACAAGTTTTATTTGTCTTTTAATTTTTACAACTTAGCTCAGAATAGTTGTATACTATACAAATGGAAAACTATTAAACTGAAAAAAGAAGAAAATGAAGTGAGATCAGCAAGTGAAATTATTAAAAATAGAAATGATTATCGCCAAAGGCAAGGGAAGCAAGGGCAAAAATGAACTATTGGGACTTCATCAAGATAAAAAGCTTTTGCAAAGCAAAGGAAACAGTCAACAAAACCAAAAGACAACTGACAGAATGGGAGAAGATATTTACAAATGACATATCAGATAAAGGGCTAGTATCCAAAATCTATAAAGAACTCATCAAACTCAACACCCAAAGAACAAAGAATCCAATCAAGAAATGGGCAGAAGACATAACAGACATTTTTCCAAAGAAGACATCCAAATGGCCAACAGACACATGAAAAAGTGCTCAATATCGCTCGGCATCAGGGAAATCCAAATCAAAACCTCAATGAGATACCACCTCACACCAGTCAGAATGGCTAAAATTAACAAGTCAGGAAACGACAGATGTTGGTGGGGATGCGGAGAAAGGGGAACCCCCCTACACTGTTGGTGGGAATGCAAGCTGGTGCAGCCACTCTGGAAAACTGTATGGAGGTTCCTCAAAGAGTTGAAAATAGAGCTACCATATGATCCAGCAATTGCACTACTGGGTATTTACCCCAAAGATACAAAAGTAGGGATCCGAAGGGGTACGTGCACCCCAATGTTTATAGCAGCAATGTCCACAATAGCCAAACTGTGGAAAGAGCCAAGATGTCCATCAACAGATGAATGGATAAAGAAGATGTGGTATATATATATAATGGAATATTATGCAGCCATCAAAAGGAATGAGATCTTGCCATTTGCAACGACGTGGATGGAACTGGAGGGTATTATGTTGAGTGAAATAAGTCAAACAGAGAAAGACATGTATCATATGATCTCACTGATATGAGGAATTCTTAATCTCAGGAAACCAACTGAGGGTTGCTGGAGTGGGGGGTGGGGTGGGAGGGATGGGGTGACTGGGTGATAGACACTGGGAAGGGTATGTGCTCTGGTAAGCGCTGTGAATTGTGCAAGACTGTTGAATCTCAGATCTGTACCTCTGAAACAAATAATGCAATATATGTTAAGAAAAAAAAAAGAAGAAGAAGAAGGTAGCGGGAGGGGAAGAATGAAGCAGGGGAAATCGGAGGGGTAGACGAACCATGAGAGACAATGGACTCTGAAAAACAAACAGGGTTCTAGAGGGGAGGGGGGTGGGAGGATGGGTTAGCCTGGTGGTGGGTATTGAGGAGGGCACATTCTGCATGGAGCACTGGGTGTTATGCACAAACAATGAATCATGGAACACTTCATCTAAAACTAATGATGTAATGTATGGGGATTAACATAAGAATAAAAATAAATAAATAAAAAAAATGAAATTCAAAA